GGCTGTCGGAATGGATTAATTTCGTAAGTAGAGGTACCACTGTATATGTTTGGAAGTGTGCTACCCATTTCTGGGCACAGTATTCTGCATCCTTAAGAAGATCAGAAAGCCCTGCTGAACCAGACCAAAGTCCTCTATAGCCCAGCATTCTGTTCCCACAGGGGCCAGTCAATTATCTATGAGAAGCCTATCAGCCAGACATGAATGCAACAACAACTTTCTGTCTACATCCCTGAGATTTAATCCATGTGTAGAGGAGATCCCTTAGCGCATCAGCCAAGAAGCAATGCATTTACAAGACCTGTTATTAAAACCAACCGGTGTAACATTTCTACTACAGGTTTCAATTTCCAGGCTGCATTGTAGCCAAAATTACAGTGCCATTGCTTCAGAGGAATTTAATATCTTCATGGTGACATGGAGGCAGCTGCCTCAAGGTGCAAACCTCTCCTCTTAGGTACAGTTGTGAGAATACCAGTTTGGCTGCTTCTTTTTGCCAGAAAATGAACACATATACTGGGAAAATAAATAAATACCTTATTTTCCTGTGTATAAGACTACTTTTTAACCTGCAAAATCTGTTGTTAACGTGGGGGGGGGGTTGTCTTATACGCCTGGTATAAGGATAAGGGTGACAGAGGTGCTAAAACTCTATATTTTGACTGGAAAAATGGGGGGTCGTCTTATACGCCGGGTCGTCTTATATGCCGGAAAATACGGTAGCTATACACAGGACATTTTTCTTGGAATTTCCCCCTGCATTTTTCTTGTGAGGAGCAGCCCAAACAGATCATAGCTTAGATCAGCTTCCTCCAACCCAGTGCTCTTCAGAAGTGTTACAATTCTTATCGTCTCCAGACAGTATGACCATTGAAGGACACCTGCACACAGCGTCCAATGTTCCACAGATGAAAATTGGGACATGTTTGGCCAAGTAACATTAGAGTGCAGTCAAGGAGTCAAAAGTTGTGAATGAGGAAGAAAAGACAAGCTAGGAGAGGCGGCAGCAGTTTGCTTTTGCCTGAGTGCACAGGGAAAGGTAAAGTTCTGAGCCTCCTGTCCTTTTCTCCCCGCTAAGTGCAAACTACTTTTGCACTTTGAATGCAGTTTGCAGCCACTAAGGTAAGATGAAGATGAAGAAGGAAAGTAGATGGGGGAGAGAGAAACTGGAATATCTTAAAGGTGTCTGTAAAAGTGGGATAAAGGTAAAGGTAAAGGTATTTCCCATTGACAAGGTTGTCAAGTCGTGTCCGATCGTCGGGGGCAGTGCTCATCTCCATTACGAAGCAGAAGAGCCAGCGTTGTCAGAGACTACTCTGTGATCATGGGGCCAGC